TAGTGTAGAAAGACAAGACAGAAGGGATGGTAGAGGTGGATGTGCCAATTTCATTAAAAATGGAATAGCTTATAGAAAAAACCACATGCATAAAGAAATAGAATGTGTTAATATAGAAATATATAATTTAAAGAAGTATGACAATATTAAAATTATAAACTTTTATAATCCGTGTAAAAGTCTTAATAGTGAAATATTCGAGGAAATAGCAGGTAAATCACATAACAGAGAAGTGTGGTGTGGTGATTTTAACGCACACAATACTCTTTGGGGTAGTAAAAAAACAGATCATAATGGTTATATAATTGAAGAAATGATGGATGAAAAGTCATTAGTTTGTATTAATAATGGAAAAGGTACAATAATAAATATACATGACCTTACAGTCTCATGCTTAGATATTACGCTAATAACTGCTAGCCTTGTTAATTCAAGTGAATGGGATATTACTGGGGATTCCACACTAGGGAGTGACCACTTTCCAGTCAGTACAATAATCGATGATAGTATAAATAGGACAGAGGATTGCATATTAAAAAAATGGTGCTTCAAAAAAGCTAACTGGCAAAAGTTTAAAACAGATTGTGAGGAAACAAGTCATTTGGTAACATTAACAGATAATGTAGAAGAATGTACAAAACAGATAACGGAACACATTTTAAATGCTGCCAATGCTAGTATTCCAAAAATAATAGTGAAAAGTAAGAAAAAAATAGTCCCTTGGTGGAATGATGACTGTAGCAGAGCAGTCAAAGAACGTAATAAAGCTTTTAAAAGCTTACAGAAAAATTTAACAAACAAATACCTTATTGATTATAAAAGAAAAAGAGCAATAACTCGTAAAATTATTAAAGAAGCAAAAAAGGAAACATGGAGAGAATATTGCTCATCAATAGGTTCAGAAATTAAATTACAGAATGTTTGGACAATGTTCAGGAAAATGAATGGGAAAAGAAAAGATGTCAAAGTGCCAGCTTTAATCAGAGGACAAGAAATAGTAATTATAAATAAAGATAAAGCAAATTTACTAGGGGAAACATTTGCAGCAGTACATAGTGGCGTACGTCTTACAGATATTCATAGACAAAAACAAATACAAAAACTTGAAAATTACAAAAATATGATAGGAAAATGTCAAAACTACAATTCAACGTTAGACACAAACATAACCATGGAAGAACTTCAATCAGTATTAAAAGGGACAGGAGACGCAGCTCCAGGAGAAGATCAACTATGCTATGTTATGTTTCATCAAATGCCAGAACTAACATTGAAATTAATATTAACATTATTTAATAAAATATGGACTGAAGGTATAATACCAAATGACTGGAAAAGGGCAATAATACTCCCGTTTAATAAACCTGGGAAAGACAGCACCAATCCAAATAACTATAGACCGATAGCTTTGACTTCTCATCTAAGTAAATGGATGGAGAAAATTATAGTAAACAGATTAGGATATTTCCTTGAACATAAAAAGCTAATGAATGGATATCAGTGTGGTTTTAGAACAGGGAGATCAACAACAGATGCATTGACTAGGGTCAGTAATGACATGGAAAAAACTTTAAAAATGAAGGAGGTAATGATCATAGTTTTTTTTTTACATTGAAAAAGCATATGATTCGATGTGGAAAGAAGGACTACTTATAAAAATCAGGCAGATGGGGATTGGTGGAAAACTATATAATTGGATAGCAAATTTTCTGACGGATAGGAAAATAAAAGTTAAGATTGGGAATGAATACTCAAAGGAATTTAATGTAGAGAATGGTATTCCGCAAGGATGTACAATAAGTCCAATATTATTTAATATAATGATTAATGACATATTTTTGGAAACATATACATGTATCAAATCGGCATTGTATGCAGATGATGGGGCAATTTGGATGAGGGGAAGGAATATAAAACATGTAGTGGGACATATTAAAAAAGCTATTGGAAAAGTGGAAACATGGTCATATGAATGGGATTTTAAATTTTCGGCTAGCAAGTCATGTTTTATGATAATCACAAATAAGAAAAATGTGGATATAGGACCAATAACTTTATATGGACAACCGCTAGACAGGGTCAAAGAATTTAAATACCTAGGTTTATGGATAGATAGTGCTTATACTTGGAAAACACATGTAGATAACATAGAAACCAAATGTAAAAAAACCATAAATCTATTAAAGGCTGTGGCCGGACATAACTGGGGTGCAGATAGACAGTCGCTACTACACATATATAGGGCACTTATGAGGCCAATAATCGATTATGGAAGTTTCATATATGGAGCAGCAGCTAAAACGACACTAAAAAAAATAGATAGACTACAGAGTAGGGCACTACATATATGTACAGGAGCAGTGAAAACAACACCAATCAATGCTCTATTAATAGAAACCGGAGAAACACCGCTTGACATGAGAAGAATAAAATTAGCATTAACATATTGGATGAAGATTAAAGGTGACGAAGAAGAGAATGTCACTTCAATTATATTTCAGAACTGTTGGGAATACACAAAATTCCAGAGGAATGGTTTTGGTTGGATGATCAGTGACTGGATCAAACTATATGGAGTAGAGGATAATAAAATAGGTAAAACCAACCCAATTTCTGTTATTCCTCCTTGGCTCTTTCCTAAGATAAATATAGATATAGGAATACTTAAAAAGAAAAATAATTGGAATTTGAATGAAGTAGGGGTAAAAACTGATGATTATTTAAGAGAATCATATTATAACTATCTCAAAATCTATACCGATGGATCAAAAAATCTTAAAGGATGTGTGGGAATAGGGATATATGTACCTGAGTTTAAAATTCACATATCTAAAAGAATATCGGACCACCTTTCCGTTTTCACAGCTGAAATGATGGCAATTACATTGAGTTTAATGTGGGTGGAAGAGGTTAGACCAGAAAGTGTTGTACTATGCACAGACTCGAAAGCAGTTTTGGAAAGTATCAAGGGGAAAGGAAACAATAGGAAAGACTTAATATTAGAAATTAAACACAGTTTATTTAGATTGTACAGAGGTGGCATTGATGTCTGGTTCTGCTGGGTACCAGCTCATGAAGTGGTAAAAGGAAATGAGAAGGCAGATACATTAGCAAAAAGGGCTTTAGAAAAGACAATAACAATTACAATTCCTATAGGGAAAGGAGAAGGAAAATCACTGATAAAGGATAAAGAAAAAGAACAATGGCAAAAAAGGTGGACTGAAGATAAGAAAGGAAGAAGTCTATATAAAATCCAAAAGTCAATAGCAATTAAGAATATTAATATGAAAAATAGAAGGGAAGAAATCATAATGACCAGATTAAGAGTAAGTCATACATACTTAAATGATGTTTTATTTAGAATAGGGAAGAAAAATACTGATAAATGTGAAAAATGTGGAGAGAAAGAAACTGTAGAACACGTATTGATGCACTGTAAAACATATGAATCTGAAAGAGAGATACTGAAAAGAATGGTTGAAAAGACAGGTCAAGACTGGAGTCTTAAAGGACTGTTAGGAACTGAGGGAAACATAACGGATATATATAAAATAAGGAAAGCGATAATTTTATATCTTAAAAATACAAGACTAATTAATAGAATTTGATAGATGTAGAGAACTGTTGTTACACACTCATGTACAGTAGGTGGCGGAATGCACCTTACAGTTGTTTGCGATCCGCCATTAACGAAATGAAGAAGAAGAAGAAGAAGGGAACCAAGTAA